TGAAGAAACTGAGGTTCAGAGCCTGTCTTATTAGCGCATTCAGGCTGCTATAACAGAATATCTTAGACCAGGAGCCTTCTAAACAACAAGAATTTAGTTCTCACAGTTCTAGAGGCTGGAAGTCCAAGGTCAAGATGCTAACAGACCTGGTGTCTGATGAGGGCTCCTGGGTTCTTAGCTGGTACCACCCAGCTGGGTCTGCAAGTGGCTAAAGGGGTGAGGGGGCTCTCTGGGGCCTCTTTCTAAGGGTACTAATCCTCTTCAGCCCCCCCCCATCCTCATAACCCTATCACTTCCCCAAGGCCTTACTTCCAAACTGTTGCCTTAGGAGTCAGGTTTCCACATGTGAATTTGGAGGAGACACAAACATCCAAACCACAGCAAGGGGGACTAGATTAGTTTCGGCAACAAAAAGGCCCCGGCTGGGTCCAAAGCCCAGGTCTCTGCCTCCATCTGCCCACTGAGACACACAGCCTGGCCTGAGGGTCCCAACCTGGGTTCTAGGGGTCCCAACTATGGCTCAGTCTCTCTGCCTGAGCTCCCAGATGATAGCTCAATCCCTATTTCTCCAAGATGGTCTCCCCACATCCTCAGAGCCATCGATGGAGCAACACAGCCTAATCACAGCCTGTCAGGGGGCCACACCCTCCAGAAAGCACACAGAGCCCTGGCCTCTGTGGCTCCTTCAGGCCTGTGGACACAGGCACAAGTACCCCCACTACCAAGGGGACAGAGGGGGATGCTGTAAGGGAATTTATGAAGTACATACCTGCACCAGGTCATGGGTCTGCCATGAGACCAAAGCTTCACAATCTTCCAAGAAACATGGATGCACACTATCTAGGGAGCCCACAAGGTAATCAAACATCCAAACCCAAGGGCAATAACGTGGCAGAAGCCACAGCCACATTTCAGTTCCTTGAAGACCAAGTCATTCCCCCAGCCTCACACCCCCACCAGCCCCCGCAGGAGCTGCTGAGAATTTATGGCCCTCATATCCCAAACAACGCTGGCATTATATTTTTGGAATGAGAAGGTGCTTTGTTATTGCCGGTGGCATTCTCTCCTGCCGTTCAAAGCTGTATTATCAAAAAAAAAAAAAAATGAATAGGGATACATTTCCCCCCCACTGTGATCTGATAGGGGTAAAAGCTTATCCTTCCCTCAGCAAACTGGTGATTGCTGTAGTTAGAAATTCCATATTCAGTGAGAGTTGAGGCTTGTGGAATATTCTTTGAACTAAAGAATTCAATCTCCTAAGCAGCCCACAGTGGGCTCCATTTAAAGAAATGGAAGGAACAACAGTGGCTCATCTTTGCAGCTGCAGCCTGAGAGATGGCCAGGCCCAGTGACAGGGACCAGTGGCCCATCCCCTTCTCCCACGCCTGCAGGGTGATGCGGTGCAGGCTATGAAGACAAGGGGCCACCAAGGCGGAGACCCTGGGGTGAGTGGCACACACATCCTGCCTGGGAAGGGAACCTCCCCAAGTCTGAAAAACTCCCCCAAGGTGGAATCTTCCTCACTCACCACTGCATTCAGAAGCCCCGCTCCCACACGACCCCTTCGACTCGAGGTACATGGCACCCATCAAGAAAGCAACTGCCTGTGAGTGAAAAAACCTGAAACAGAGCCCGGCAGAAATCAGCCACACCTAGGAATGTGTAGGAAAAAAACCCCGCCTCAGCTGGAAAAGGGGAAGGGGACCGAGAGTGAGAGCAGAAATGCTCCAAGTAGGCCCCATGAGGGTGTGAGGGGCACCCACGTGGCGTCTGGGAAGAAGAGGAAGGGCAAGGAGGCGCCAGGGAGGATGGAGGGTGCTGCTTTGAGGCTGTGCCAACCTCTGCTCTTGCACCTGCTCAGCAGTCTCCACACAAGAGTTTAAAAATAAAAGCTATTTAATTTCTTGGGAAAAGAAATTAAACCAGCCACCAAATCCTCACATGGAAAGACCAGTCCACTAGTCCTGGACTAGTCTAATTCTTCCATCTTTGTGTGTGCACACACACATAGATGTATGTGTATGTAAACATGTGTGGGTTTGTGTGTGCACATGCACATGTGTGTGTGTATTTGGCATATACGCATTTGTGTGTGCACACATGTATGTGACTGTGTGCATGTTTGTGTGCGCACATGTGTGTGCATGTGTATGTTCATGTGCACACGTGTGTATGTGAGCATGTGCGTGTTTGTGTGCACACACGTGTGTATGTGAGCATGTGTGTGTTTGTGTGTACACACGTGTGTATGTAAGCATGTGCATGTTTGTGTGCACAGCATGTGTATGTGAGCATGTGCATGTTTGTGTGTGCACATGTATGTAAGCATGTGTTTGTGTTTACACATGTGTATGTGAGCATGTGCATGTTTGTGT